GAACTTCTCCTTCAGCTCCTTCACCGTCTTGTCACAGCCAGACACGCGGTACAGGCCGGTCTGCGGCGAGAAGCAGCGCTCAGTGCACCACGAGGAAGCCCACCCTCCGCACGCAGCGCTCAGCCACCCCCCGAGCAGACGGCACACACCGGAAATAAGAACCCTTTGGGTTAATTTGTTTCTCTTGACACCACGACCCTTCCATTAGCACCGTGTCACTCCTCACTCTGCTTTTACCTCACGCAGCCCTCGCTGTTCGATCTCATTAACGCAGTGCACTATGATGGAAGGGATCATTGGATGAGTAGGAGGGACAAAGTCCATCAAGGTCCCCTAGGAGGCAGAAGGGAGGAAAAAATAAAATTGATATTTAGCCTTCAAGACAGAAAACTCTCCCAGGAATTCACCCTGGCATCTAGGCTCAAGAATCCCTGCTGCTTCTTCACAAACCAGGAAGGGAGGAACACTTAACACCCATTAGCACAGCACAGCGTTGCCTGCCCGGAGCTCAACACCCTCCTGCAAGTCACCCCTCAAGCAAACGCTTGTTGCTCAAGGGTACTTTTACCAGGTCATTTGTGTTTTTATTGTGTGGTTCTGAGCAAGGAGAGCTCTCCTGCAGGAAGTTGGGAGCTCAGGCGCGCTCTAACCAACACCAGGCAGGCAGTTCCATTGCTGCATGTGCCGGGTTCCGAGCGTGCCGGGGCCTCACCTCCCCGATTCGGACGGGAGTGCCTGTCAGGATGGGGATGCAGGGAAGGGGACAGCGGTCACGACACTCCGGATGAGTCACCACACGGCAGTCTCTGCATTTTAGAGACAGTTTTCCAAACTTGATCCGCTTTCCACAGGGAACGCATGACTCTGGTTTGATAACCTAGCAATACAAAGCACAGAGAGCAGGAAGAGGTTAATGCAGCACAGCTACTACAGAGGAAGTGGATAGCTGGCAGGATAACACACTCCCTCATCCAAGCAGGCTACAGGCACAGTCAGTACCGAATGAGTAATGGCTGCTGACCCCTGGTCAGGGGTTCAGGAGCCCAGTTTGGGGGAATCTTGCTCATTAAGTTTGCTTTCAACCATCACAACCTCACTCCCTAGTTGGGAACTGCTTTCTCCAGGTGGGCTGAGTTATCCCACGGCAGCAGGAAGCCCTTCCCAGCAGCAGGGCTGGGTCTCGGAGGGCAGAGACACACATGTGCCAAGGTGCCAACCTGCAGCTGTGGCTTCCCCCAAGCTCAGAGGAGGGCTGGAACATTGCCACGTGCCCCAGGTCTACATCCAGAGCCTTTACCTTTGACTAATCAACGAGCAGGGTGAACGGAGGATGATTCTCCCTCCGCTCTGCGGACCTACCGTTTTCGAGACGAACTCGTGCAGCCGCACTCCCCCGTTGCTCTGCGGGGTGCTGAGGCCATCGCTCTCTGACCTGGGCTGCAGCTGCCTGCTGCCCAAGCTTGAGCTGCTGCTCCAAGGCTGCAAAGTGTCTGGAAGATGCAAGAGAAGGATACTTGACTGAACGGCAACCTCTGCTTCCAAAAAAAGGCCCTATAATTCAGAGGCAGCTGCCTAAGGACTGGCGAAGTTTACTGTAATATTGCAAAATATCTCATGCCCCTCTCACTAGCTGCTCTAGAGATGGGACAAATGACAAATGTGGCACCTACCACCAGACTTCCTCTGGTTTCTGAGGTTGTAAGGCACAGTCTGGATGGTGGAGACAGCTTCAATTGGGCCACCATCGCTGGGGACAGTGAGAGTTGTCTTTGCCACTATGGACTCATTTCCCTGCAACAAGGGGTCTGCAGTTAGTGACAGCAGCACGGATGACTGGCAGGACAAAGATTTTCTAGTTCGTTGGTCCTGGAAAGGGGCAAGCAAGAGGATGAGGGGTTTGAGCCCACCGGGACCACCGTACCTGGTCCACCGTGGAGCCAATCGAGCGCGTTTTCTTCAGAGGTCCAGGAGGGCCTTCAATGAACTGCCGGGATGAGCGCTGAAACAATGCATCATTTTTGTGAGCCAGGCAGCCACATTACCAGTTTAGTGCTATACTGCATTGCTGCAAGGACCGAGTAATTGTCTGCACACACAGACCACAGAAACATTAAGTCCTTCCCGTTGTGGCTTCTGCCCTTCCTCACCTGCACCTACTGCCATTTGTTACACTGCTATCAGCATGCAAGTGCCATTATGGAACAGAAAAGAGATGTTGATTCTCCCCCAAGCCCGGTGGCTGCTAATAATCTTGCAGCACTTTCTTGCCAGCTGCAAGCCAAGCCCACACAAGGCACGTGGAACTCCATGGCAGCAGTTTCGTGGATCATCACAATTAACCGTGGACCTAAATCCACACAGCGACTCCGTTACCGCGGAAGCACATCTGCCTGAAGCTGGGCTGCCATTAGTATCTCAGGAGTCAATAGAGGGGCTGTTAGGTGACAGATGGTGACGCTGTGTCACCTACGGCGAACAATGGGATCTCTCTGAAGGGAAGGACTCAACATACCCGCTTTTCTCTCTTCTTCAGCCTGACAGATTTCATCACAGAGGAATCCCAGTCCTGTGGGAAACGCACAATGTTGTTGAGCTCAAGGTAAATGTCATACAGCTTCTGGCCAGGGCTTTCATTGCATCCTAGCCAGCAGCCCCACAGAGAAATGCAGCTCAGCAACATCCGCTTAATGCGGTACTCCAAACAACGCTTCCCTGGAGATTACCCACACCCTTCAGGTTTTCTAGTTGAGAAAAACTTCAGAGCTTGGTATTACATTACCAGTGACTCATCAGTCTTGTCAAAGCTGATGTCTGACAAAATTGAGCCAGATTCATCAATTGTAGACAGCCTAAAAGGAGAGGGAAAAAAATAAATAAATAAAAATCAAAGTCAAAAGAAACATTTATCACTGAGGTTTTCAGGAAGCTGTGGTTCCAGAACAATCTTACTGACTCATAAGAGCTCTATTTCAAAGTGGAATAGAGTGAAACTCTGCTCATGAGTGCAGCGTTAGCAGGATCATAGATGTCCTCAGAGCTGGACGGTTATTACCTGCGTTGCCTTGACAAAATGTTTTTGCCTACCTCTTGCTCCCCGAGCCCCCTGCAGAAACCTGGGGCCTGTTCAGAAAGGCAAGGGCAGACTTCTGCTCCTCGCTGAGCTGGATGCTCCCAGTTACATCACACATGAGCAGATCTCGAATCAGCTGCATTTGACGCTCCTGTAAAGGCAGAGAGTATCAGGAGCTGCCACAGTGCAGACTCCCATTTAATTACTGTTGGAACCAATCCCGAGTACATGAGACACTGGCTTCAGTCCTTCCCAAAACCCATGTCAGTGAAATGTTAACGGCCCAGAGCAACAGCAGCCTGTGCTCAGGAACCAGTAGCTCTGCTGCGAACAGCGGCCGCTGGCCCTTTTTCCAGGCCAAAGCTTGGTCAAAGCAAAAGGCCACTACAAAGAGTCTAGCCAGATTAAAAAAAGAGGTTATTACAAGTGCCAGCCCTTTTTTCCCCTCAAGGCCAGTGTAGATTAACTGCTATCTCTCTGCAGCCTAATGAGCCAGCAGCAATAAAGAATCACTCACCAGCTTCTCGCAGTCCACTTCAGCCTTTTGCCTTCGTTTGATCTCCACGTCCACTTGATTGCGAGCGTGTTTCAGCTTCACCTCCAAAGCATTGCGTTCCGTTTCTGTCTTCATTAGGAGATCCTTGTACTTGGCAAGTTCATGCTCCGTTTTCTGGGATTTTTTCCGAAACTCTTCGAAGTTCCTTGCTAACTGGGCAAATTCTGGGGAGAAAACACCTCAGTTTTTAGCACACAGAGGAAACTCAGCAGTCCTGTTCGCTGACAGCTGATTTTTATCGATGTTGCCCACCCTGGACGGGAGAGGCGGGTGAGCTGGCCTGTCAGACACTAGTGATCTAGTGCTCGCTTGTAGCTGTTCCCTTGGGTGAACATCTATGCTCTAGACGTTCACCCAAGGGCACAGACAAAGCCCTTCACCCCTGCATCAACTGGAAGGGCTGGGACACACGAGACCCTGCAGGAAATCAGCAAGCAGAGCACAGCCCTGCCCAGAAGTTCAGTCCAAGACTTCATATTTGGGGACAACAACAAAAAAGACAGTCCATGCACAAATGCAGCTACCCCCAGCTTCATTCACAGCTCCCCAGCAACAGCCATCGGCATTGGCACGTTGTAGGCTCACAGCAGCCCTCCGACGACCCGCAGAGATGGCACTTACGGTGTTCGTTCCGTTCACTCAGGACGTCAACCTGGCAAACAAGCTGGTCAAACAGATTCCGCAAATTCAGCACTGAAGTCTCCATCTTTTCCTGCCAAGAAAGCAGACCTCAATAACCAGCCCAGTCCTTTCTTTCCACCCTCAAGCAGAGGTTTGCATCTCAAAGAAAAAGAGTCAGCATTAGAATTAATGATCAAAAAGTCAAGTTTTGGCAGATACGCAAACAGAAGAGTTATGTTTTAATCAAGATACAGCCAAACTCATGTGTATAGCGCAAACGGCAATATAAAGACACAGTCTAGCTCTCAACTTTATTGCTTCAAATAATCTGCAGTAAATTACAGGGGCTCAAACCCCTGCGATGATTTGCTTTCTGGAAGGCTGCAGAACACAGCTCACACCCAGGCTACGAGCAACTCAGTACTATATAGGCCACTAAAATCTGTAAGGTTTCAGAGCACCATAAGATAAAAATAGATGCAACATTCTTGGGAGCTTTAATACACTTTTAAATTTAGCTGCATTTTAAGTTGCAGCTCACAGAGCAAACAGCTTTTAAAATTCAGGGAAGTCAGCATGTTTTCCTCGAACAACAGTAGCGCAGGAGAAGCGATGGAGGGAAAAGTCCCCGGCTCAGCAGCGCAGAAATGACTTTTGCAGTGCAAGAGGCTGCCGGAGCATGCAGTGGGGCTGGATGATGAGCGGTTTGGAGGTGCAGGTGGCTGC